CATCATGTCACAAATAGATATGTGCATTTGTTTCATGATCTGCTTAACAATAGCGGAATGATGGCCATTTTAAGGCCGAAAATGCATCAAAATCGCGTATTTTCACAATTCCAGAACCGGATCTCAGTCATGCATGAATGGATTTTGTTCAGATTTAGCACAATGTACATATGCAGGTGCATTTCGGTCATGATCTGCTTTGAATGTATATGTCACTCAAATATGAACGGAACGGGGACGTGTCATTGACAATGACTTGTTCATTTTCTAATGATGTCTTCAGTTCTTTAATTGAAATGTGCATTGCTAACAGCAGAGCTATCTCAGCCGATAGGCTGCTTGTTATTGATTGAATATGGTTTATTGGACTTTTTGATAATATGCACACTTGTATTGTAGATCAATGTGAGGCTTTGTAACACAGTCACAGATGTGTAGCACATGTAGTACTGTAAACCACTCTAATTTTGTGAGACAAATTTACATAAATTGTTGTCAGTGACTATAGCTAAATTTTGTAACAGTCATCTGGGGTTCATTAACAATGACTTGTTATTCACTGCTGCACTTACTCTACAGTTGCACATTGATGGAGTAGGTAGCCAGTCACCAGTCGTTAAGGAAGTTGATTTTTGGAAGGAGCACACAGAGCCGGAGCAGCCTGTGGAGCCAATGATCCCTGAGAACGACGAAGTGGAAGATAATGGTAGTAGTATTGCTTTGTCTCGTCCTATAGCAATAAAAAATGGCAATGGGCTTGCTAGAGCCGCAAATCTTTCCCCTGGAAAAGGTTGGTATGGTGTTGGCAGGTAGCTGGGGGTGGGGATATCAAACAGACCTACTTGGATTGTAGACGACGTAAGATGAAATCACTGCCATCAAATGGTAGGTGCAATGTGAGAAAAAATTTCCAAAGCCTTTCTTAGAAAAATTGAGATTGGTGATGATATTCGCTTGTTGAACTTTCTTAACTTTAGTTTCAGAGATACAAATGTATATTAAAATTTCCAAAAAAATTTAAAATTAAAAAAATAGGTACTGCTAATTTCACAAACTGAACAGTGGATTAGGCACTGGACTGTAACACTTTAAACAATTTAGTAGAGGTGTTACACCATGTATTGATTTCAGGAAAGGTCTTTTAATAACCTGTACAAAATTTGAAGGCCTGTATGTTTATTTTGTGGTTAGTAAACCTTACTGTGTCTGTGAATTTTTTTTGTACACATTGCCAGAAAATATCGTAGACTTAATTGGCTGACAATATTACTGTGTTGCATGCGATGCCTGACTTTAACACAGCAGTATTGTCAGCTAAATTGCTGGCCAAGTATACAAAGCAAATTCACGGTTACAGTAAGGGCAAATAATCACAAGTTAACATTTTCACCACCAGTTCCCTCTTTTCATCACATATACAAAAAATAGTCCCATTTATAGTCTGCACTTTCTTTAGTAGATTGTGACAAAAAATAACCAAATTTTTTAAATAAAAACTCAATATTGACTTAAATTCTGTCTGCTGACTCCAAAATTAGGGTTCATTTACAGAAATATTGAAGAATGCAAGAAAATGTGCAGAAATGTCTGGTGGTGAAAAGATTAAATTCTTTGTTATTGGAGGTAGTAAATAATAGTGATCCAAATTTGAATCAGAATCCAAGTTGGTCTGTTTTTTGTTGCAGTGGTTGAGGTTGTGTGGCTTCAATCCAGCCCTTATTATCCTGCTTGTGTGTAAATGTATATTGTGACTCTAAAGGTGATGTGGACATGATATGGTTGGGGGTATTGCATGATATACCCGTGTTGACATTTCATCTCTATAGGTCATACATCCAGGTACTTTTAGGGGAATAGATTGACAATCTGTTGATATTTCACCTATATACAGCCTACCGGTAGTATTTTTCAGGGGGATAAATTGACAGTTAGTGTTGTCATTGAAGTTAAAAAAAAACAAACTTAGAAATATTGAGGCAGTGTTCTTCCTGGGCATCTCGGTTTTATTGTACTTAAACAAGAAGTTATTCTTATGCTAATGATACTATTGTACTGAATAATCTATTCATCGTTATGTAAATCAGGGCATATTGTTAGGTTACAGTCATATCATGCTGGGAAGAACACTATTGAGGTTTACTATGGGAAGTTATTGCTGTTATTATAAAAACATACCCTTAAAAATGCCAGGATGTGTGACCTTTAAGGGTTATTGTGACTATCATGAATGGGGTCGATTCTGATTGATATTTAACCTGTCAGGTCAGAGAACATTATTGTAGGTCAAATCATGTCGAAAAAAATCATGGCAGGAATTGCTTTGTATCAAGAGTTGGCATATGATCAAAAACAAAGATAATGATGAAGCTTGATTTTGAATGTTTTTCCTACTGTCACTAATAATTTTTACATTGTAAATTCTAATGGTTTGGAACATTTCTGTTTCTACAATGATTATAAAATTTTAAATCAATGACACATTTCATTTCACACCCCCCCTCCAAAAAAAAACATATGCAATATTCTTTTAATATGGCACATGGTGTAAGAAAATTGTCATTTGGATTATTTTTCAAGTGGGGGGCTTGGT